TTAACATGCATCAGTCACCATACACGGGGAGTCTTCGGCAGGCAGGGATCGAACCCACGATCACTTGGACATGGCCCCAGTGCCCTACCAACCAGGCTATCCCGGATTTATTGGGTCGTTTGGTTACCGCAGGTGGCCATTCGCCCCACGAAACGGTTTTGCACCTTTTAATGACCCCTACGTAACCCCGGAGGTCACAGGACCCAGCCCGTCGGACTTTTTTAATATAGGGATAGGCTTGTTATTGTTTTTTGGTTTCATTCATATTACCAGGCATAAATATAAAGATATCCCCTATATGCGTCCCTGCGACCACGGTAGAAAATTGAACAAGATAAAAGCGTCGCGGCGGGACGGGGGGTTAGTATTCTGACTCCACTCCCATGCGTGTGAACGATCTCTGTGTTGTTACCCTGCTCTTGAAGAGGAAAAGATTTTAAAAAGACACTTTTTGGATATGTACTGATAGTATCAGTCCAACATGAGGTCTATGAGTATCAGTCTGACACTCATAGACCTAGGCGTACAAACAGCCTTGTCTTATATGAAGGGAGAAGGTTGAGAACCGGAGAGATGTGACTCCATGAGTAAAAATGTAAACTTTTCTTTAAAGTAACCGATATTTATTATTTACTTATACATATTTTATAATCGTCGTTGAACAGTCGAACTAAATTGGAGTTTACAACTACCATTGTTCAACTCCGTTGTTTTGTAATTTTGAACACAATCCAGAAGGCAAGGGAACTTCTGGATCAAGTATGCGGAGAAATTTTGCTATTGTGGAGAACTTTTTGATGGAACTAATCCGCATTTGCGTTACATGGAGAGGAAAACCACGAAAATATTCCTCAGCTGGCCTGGCTGCACGTTGATTTTTAACCATGATCAATCCACCACTGAGAATGTTTTACGTCAGCACAGTTGTCGGCTCGAGCCTGGTGTGGAAATCGCTCCGACGGGTCATCGTTAGGATTCCCTACATACCAAACTACCCCGGACTTATTTTATATGTATTTACTATTACTATGGAAAGCTCCCCGATCGGAGCTCGGAGGTAATTTTAAAGTTGACAGTTAGGTCTGGCAGGAGTGTCTCCTGATTTTTGATTTTTAAATTTAGAGAGGCTGGCTTAAAACGGTTAAAACCGGAGAAAATTATCGAAATTCTCCTAACACTGTTATGAGTCGTGATGGCTCAGTGGTTAACGAAATAAGCTGTCATTGAGAAGAGCTGGAGTTCGATTTCCAGAGGCAGTAAGAAGCCTACTCAGCCTCAGATCGATGGGTATCAGTTGGTGTGTAAAATAAAGGTGGCCTGTGCATAGTGCTAACCACAATCATGTCATATTGGTCACGAAATGGTGCAGTCTTATCCCCCATAACCCACTACGGGCTGTTGCGGGAACTCTCTACTTTACCACTGTTTTATTTTTTATACAAGGCTGCCACCAGCGATCTTAGGAATTTCAATGAACGATGTATTTAAAAGATAATAAAAAACAATGCGTTAAATTAAAAAATTAAACACTAAAAAACTATCAATATTTGAACTATCGGTAGTTTAAAGCAATGCAAATGAGGAAATAATTACATTTTCCTCACCAGGGTATGAAAAAAAATCCAATTCGGGTGTGGTTAAAATTTCAATAATAGTTGATAAATAAGAAAAATATTTTTCTGAAATTATTTAAAAAAGCTTTAAACGAAGAAAGAATCATCTTGCAATGTAAAATGCTAGCTGAAAATTTCAATATAAAAAATTTTTTTATGTTACAAGACAAAAACGTTTAAATTAATGTTAAATTTACAGAATAAATAAAATTACTTTTTTATTCTTTGAAGATATATTCTGCAAAAAATAAAATTCTCATTATGTGGCTGAAATTAACAAAATTGTTGGACCGCATTTTCAAATTGTGGTTATTCCTTATAATTTGATTCAAAAATCAGCCTTAAAAAAGACGTGTTTCTCTAGAACACCGGTTCCCAAAACTTGTTCCGCGGATGGCCAAGAGTTGAAACAATTCAATTAAATTGTGCCGTGATGGGTCAGGGGATAAAGCCTTCCAATGAGGTGAACCGGGTTCGAATCCCATCAATGTCTGGTCGATACGAATTCCGGCTTCGTGGCGTAAATTATCCTCAGTGGTAAACGTTAGAAGGAGAATAAAAGCTTTTGTTCAGTTCATACTTGTCTGCTATAGCCTCCACTTCTTGGCGTGGGGAGGGGGGGTCAACGAAGAACATGTTTTGCCCCTCCTGAAATGTGAACATTCGCCGCTAAAATAAAGTCACGTAATTGGTAATTTTAGAAAATAAAAACTGTTTTTTTTTTTTTAAATTTTGAAGTTATTTAAAGAAGAAAAAAGCTTAATTTTCTTTTCAAAATTGATTAAAGGGCCAATAATTAATTTTGCCCCTTCTAAAATTAGAAATAGAGTAAAAAAACTTTTTTTTTAAACTTCGAAGCAATTTTCTAAGTAGAAAACTATATTTTACCCTGAAATTAAAGTAAAAAAGATAATAACGTGCTTCGCTCACCAAAAATTTTGACATTCATGAAAATAATGTCAAGTTGAACTCATAATTTTTAAAAAAAATTCAACTTTGAAGTTATTTTCGAAATTGAAAACTTTATTTTACTCTTAATTTTAATTAAGAGGACGAACAATTTGCTTCGCTTCTTCTGAACTTTCGACATTTGTGAAAATAAAGTAAAATTTTTTTTAAAAAAATAAAAGGACTTTTTATTTCAATTTAGAAGTTACTTTTCGAAAATAAAACTTTCTTTTGAAATTTAGTTTAAGGGCGAAGGATGTGTTTCGCTCTTTCTGAAATTTAGACATACATTATTGTCAAGTTTAATTGACAAACTTAATAGAGAAAAAAAAATTTCCACTTAGAAGTGATAAAACTTTAATATCCTCTGAAATTAAAGTAAGCTGGCGAATAATATGTTTCGTTTTTTCTGAAATTTAGACATTCGTAAAAATAAAGTTAAATTGGCAATTTCAGAAGGTAAAAAATCTTTTTTCAACTTTATTTTCGCAAGACAAATACTGACAGATCATGGGTTGGAGCTCCCTTGCCGTCAGGCTTACCGTGGGAGGTTCTCGTGGTCTTCCCCTCCATGTAACGCAAATGCGGATTAGTTCCATCAAAAAGTCCTCCACGAAGGCAAAATTTCTCCCAATACTTGATCTAGCAGTTCCCTTGTCTTCCAGATTGTTTCAAAATTACAAGGCTATGGAGTTGAGAATTAGTAGTAGTAAAACCAAAAATTGGGTCGACTGTTTAATGACGGTTATTAAATTAAATTAAATANCCGTGTAACGCAAATGCGGGTTAGCTCCATCGAAAAGTCCGTCACGAAGGCAAATTTCTCCCAATACGTGATCCAGCAGTTCCATTGTCTTCCAGATTGGTTCAAAATTACAAGGCTACGGAGTTGAACATTAGTAGTCGTAAACTCAAAAATTTGGTCGACTGTTCAATGACGGTTATAAAATTAAATTAAATAGATTTTACAAATAGAATAGGCCGGAATAGCCTGGTTGGTAGGGCACTGGGCCCATCTTCAAGAGTTCCTGGGTTCGACCCCCGCCGGCCGAAGACTAGTAAATGGTGACTGATGCACGTTAAATCTGTCAGGTCATAGAGTCTTCTGTGTTCCTTTAACAAATCATACCTCAGGGGGTACTGATCCAGAAATTTCCTAGTCTTCTGGATTGGTTCAAAATTACAAGGATACGGAGTTGAACAATAGTAGTCGTAAACCCAAAAAAATTGGGTCGGCTGTTCAACGACGGTTATAAAATGTAAAATAGATATTAAAACTATGTTCTTTTAGGAATATAATGTATGCACTAAAAATTAGTGGTAGCTCTAAACTTATAAAATTAAAAATTAATTTTTCCCTTCCATCGCAGTAATAAAAATAAACTTTTCTTGTGTTCTAAATCAATATCACAATCAGTAGGGAACCGATTATCCGGAACGATCGGGACATTCGCTATTCCGGATAACTGATTTTTCCGGTTTTCTGAATCGCTACAAAAAGCCGTTTTTTTATTGTTAAACTCAACTAAAAAAAAAATATTTGGGAAATAATCTTAAAAAGAAAAAATGATGAAGTGATTATTTCCAAAATGATGGTAAGGTAAAAATCTTTCAAAAAAGAAGGAAAAATCCTATGAGGGAAAAAAAATTTTTTTTTTTAAAAAAATGGCGGAAAAATTTATTAAATTTCGTTCCGGTTTTTTGGTTTTCCGGTTTTCTGATTTCCGGATAACGGGTTCTGTACTGTACTATGTGGTATAATTGTTTTGTCAAGTAAAAGTGTTTTCATCAATGCTATAAAAATGCTTTATTGTTTTGAATGTTATCCCTTATTTTACTATCTTAGTGCACAATATCCTCAACGAAATCGAAAATGACCTGAAAGCCCTAGAGATTAAAATCTGGAAGGGAGGTTGTCAGGGATATGAGTCGCTGGCTTTTGTGAGCTGTTGCCGCAGACAAGGCCTGCAAGGGGCTATCACGCAAACGAAGAAAAAGAAGTGTACAATAACACTGCAATGTTATTTTCAATTTCGTAATTGTATTATAGCTTGCTAGTGGAGTTTTCCAAATTCATTTTTTCTTTGTTTCGTTGAAATTTAAATTGAAAGAACGCTTTATAATGCAATATTGGATGGCACGACTCTCCACACACTATTAGCGAAAGCATGCGTTGTCATAGGTTCTGCTCTACGCCACCTGTGTCCCGCAGTGAACTGATAGTAAAGACACGGTTCCCAGTAGAACACCAAAGTCAAGCAAAACAGTCTGAGGTCTGTAAGCGTGTAGATCACCATTTTGATTAGTCTGAGTAGGGACTGAGGGTGAGCGGTATTGGTGAGTGGTATCATCTTCCGGGATGTCTCCTAGACCGTGCAGCTTGTGGGAGCGGAGTTATAGTCCATGCCAACCTTCATCTATCAAAAGGTACTTCGTGATTGAATCAAGTTAGCATGTCTTATATACCTGAATTGATATACTGAATTGATGTTTAACTGTTAACATTTACTGTATTGATGTTTAAATTCGTAGTGGTAGTTACGCCACAAGCTCTAGTGCTATGTAAATAAAGTACCTACATACCTACGCCACCTATAGCTACTACGTCTCCACAAAGCTTTGAAAGTTAAAAGCTTGTTTTAAATGGCACAGACATATGCAGCAGCAAGCAACTTAGCAAAACAAAAAATTTGATCTCTTTCTGATTTAAGATTCTAGTTATTATTTAGTCTTTCTGAAATAAATATAGGACATTAACTTTTCTAATAAATATAAATCCGAATTAGGATGAGTGTTCCTACTTTTAATGATGCAACTGATGAGGAGCAGGTTGAGTTTAATTTTTTATATATTTTGTTATCAGCATTTGGGTATGGAACTGTTTTTCTTATATTTCTTTTAATTATGGTATCCGAGTGATTTTTATTAATTCATTCGACTTTAATATGGAATCAAATTATGTTATTAATTTGAATTCATATTAAAGTTGAAGAAGTTGTGAGTCGTTTGTAACAATTGTAACGAACCTAACTATTATTTTTTTTTATAGTAAATGATTTAGTTACAAGTCAAATGACTCTCATATCTTTTGAGAAGTCTGTCAAAAAATTTTATAAGGCTATCGATTTTTACTAAACTTTGCGTTAATTCATTAAAATTAAGTGCATAATTAAAATCAAATTAAAAAAAAAACTGGGTTTTAAAACAAAATATATTGTGATGGACCTATTTTCAAGACGAAATATCGGTGTAGAATTACTTAGGGATATTTTTATATTGGTGCCTGTTTGGTGCTAGTAAGTTTTTGTCAGCAGTGAATTGTCCGCTTTTTCTTTTGTAAGCAATTAGTTTTATAATCATAAACTAATGATTAGTTGCTTTTATATAGTACATAGGCTATTCCCTACAAATTTTCAGGTAGGAGCAGCAACAACAAAAAAATTTTCAGAAATTTATAATTTTCTGTAGTAAGCTATAGGATAAGGTACTAATCAAGAAAAATAGCAGTCTTGGTTATTATTAAAATAAAATGCTTTTCTTATTTTAAGTATTTATTAAAGTGAGTTTATGATAGCATAGTAAGAGAATAATAATTCAAGTCACAAACATGTTTAAAATAATATTTTTAATGAATGTTTAAGTACATCCTTATCATGTTTAAGTACATCCTTAGTCCTTAATTGCTTTTTTAATCATATATTATCCATTACTGCCAAGTATCAACTTATACAATATCTATATTATTTAATTGTATCAGCTATAAGTAGTAAACATGCAAATAAATTATGGGCTGCTAATTTTTTACAGGTTTTCATTATTTTCCTCTTTTTTTGTTACCACTAAAAACCTACTTTTTATCATGTTATAGTAAAACTGGTAATTAAAATCTAACCTTAACCATATAATTCCAAATGTTATTTGAGTATTCCATCTATTGAAAAAGCGCTTGATTCCAAAAAGATCAGTTTTAGAAAACAACTCTAAGGGTAGAAACGTATTACTGAATTTAAAAATTAATTCTCTTTTCTCTGCCCATTATTGAGATTTATAATTTTATTCTTTAGTATCAAGATCTTCGTAGCTATTTGAATAGTCTTGGAGGCCATATTTGATAGGAGAATTCAGATGAAGGATTTCTGACTGATTTAGAAGATGTGATTGGCTGTTGTGAATTATGACTTCATGAAGCTGGTAAAGTTGCTGTTTTATTTTTCTGGAAAGAACAAATGATTGTATGATTGGGAGTTTTTTTTTAAAGAATAATTGCTGCATGTGGCCAGTTCCAAATATATCTTAATGAGTAAATATCTACCTGAAAAAGTAGTGTGTAGGAGGGCAATTTCAGTATAATTTTGCCTGATATGTAATCGTTTAAAGGATTAATGATTACTAGTAATGATACAATATATGTTCTATAGCACATACGAGCAGGATTGGAAAAAAAATTTATTTTGTCAGGGTTAAATTGGATTTTTTCATCATTTCTTTTATTCATTAAAGTCTTAGAGCTGCATGAATGAATACCATTGATTTTATTAATATTAAAATAGATATTAATACATTTTATTATCAATATCATTTACATTGATAATTTAGCAATAATTTTTTAATGAGAGTTATAGGGTTCAATTACTTTTTGTAGGATTTACATATTCTGTTTTAGGATAGATTTAAAAAGCTACTAAATGTTTAAGTGAAGAAATAAGTTATTTATTTTTATTCAATTGAAAGTCANTTGAAAGTCAATTTTCAAAGTAAATTCTTAACGTGGGGAATGTATTTATGCAATTGTGCATTACATTACTTTTCTAACAGTGTTGTGTCCTTTTTTATGTATAGTCAAAGCGGGCTTCTAGAATAAGCTCTACTATTTCAACAACAAGGATTATATCAGAACAAGAATTTTGAATTGAAGTATTTTACCAGTTGAAAGGGGTTATTTTTTAAAAGTATCATTTTAAACTATATAATTAGACTCACTGTTTAGGAAAATAGTATTTAAAATACACTTTTTAAAAAAAATATTTTCCTATTTCATTGAAATGTGATTCTAATCATATTTTATATTGCATCTTGTTACTGGTTTTAATTATATGGTGAATTAGTATCTCAAATTTTTGTGAGAATACGTTAGTACATTGTTTCCACTTTCTAATAATACATATTTAA